TCACTCAATGTATCTATGTTCCTCTGCAAAGTTTCACAGTCCTCCGCAAAGTTTGCTCTGCCACTCATCTTAGTGTCATCTGCAAACTTTGACACCCTACACGTGGTCCCCAACTCCAAATCATCTATATAAATTGTAAATAATTGTGGTCCCAACACCAATCCCTGAGGCACACCAATAGTCACTGACTGCCAGCTAGAATAGCACTCATTTATCCCCACTCTTTGCTTTCTGTTGGTCAACCAATCCTCTATCCATGCTAATACTTTACCCTTAATGCCATGCATCCTTATCTTAGGCAGTAGCCTCTTGTGCGGCACCTTGTCAAAGGTCTTTTGGAAATCTAGGTACACCACATCCACTGGGTCCCCATTGTCCACCTTGCTCGTAATGTCGTCATAGAATTCCAAAAGATTTGTCAAGCATGACCTGCCCTTCATGAATCCATGCTGCGTCTGCCCAACGGGACAATTTCTATCGAGATGCCTTGCGATTTCTTCCTTGATAATAGACTCAAGCATCTGCCCCGCTACAGAGGTTAAGCTAACCAGTCTATAAATTCCCCACCTTTTGTCTACTTCCCTTTTTAAACAGCAGCGTCACATTTGCTGTTTTCCAATCTGCTGGGACTGCCCCAGAGTCCAGCGAATTTTGGAAAATTACGCTAGTGCACCTGCTATTTCTCCCGCCATCTCTTTTAGTACCCTGGGATGCATTCCATCAGGGCCAGGAGACTTATCAATCCTTAGCTCCATTAGCTTGCCCAACACTACCTCTTCCGTAATAATGATTGCTTCCAGGTCCTCACCTACCTACGTCTCTTTGTCTATTGCTGGCATGTTATTAGTGTCCTCCACTGTGAAGACCGATACAAAATACCTGTTCAATGCCTCGGCCATTTCATCATATCCCACAACTAAATGCCCCTTCTCATCCTCTAAAGGGTCAACGTTTACTTTAGCCACTCTTTTTCGTTTTATATATTTATAGAAACTTTTGCTATCTGTCTTGATATTCTGTGCTAGTTTTTTCTCATGTTCTATCTTACTTTTCTTTATAGCTCTTTTTGTGGCTTTCTGTTGACCATTAAAGTTTTCCCAATCTTCTAGTTTCATGCTGTTTTTGGCCACTTTGTATGCCTTCTCTTTCAATTTGATAGCCTCCCTTATTTCTTTAGACACCCATGGCAGATTACCCCTTTTCTAACAGTCCTTCCTTTTCATTGGAATATACTTTTGCTGGGCACTTTGAAAGATTGCTTTGAAAGTCCTCCACTGCTCGTCAACTGTCCCACCATAAAATCTTTGTCTCCAGTCTACCTTAGCCAAATCCTCCCTCATTCTATTGTAGTCCCCTTTGTTCAAGCACAGGACCCTGGTATTGGATTTTATTTTCACACTCTCCATCTGTATTCTAAATTTAACCATACTGTGATCACTCCTTCCAAGAGGATCCCTAACTATGAGGTCATTAATTATTCCTGTCTCATTACGCAGGACCAGATCTAGGATAGCTTGCTCCCTCGTTGGTTCCATTACATACTGTTCAAGAAAACTATCACGGATTCACTCAACAAACTCCTCCTCAAGGCTACCCTGACCGAGCTGGTTCGACCAATCTACATGTAGATTAAAATCCCATGATAATTGCCGTACCATTTTTACAGGCATTAGTTATTTCTTTGTTTATTGCCCGCCCCAATGTGATGTTATTATTTGGTGGCCTATAGACTACACCTATCAGTGACTTTTTCCTCTTAGAATTTCTAATTTCCACCCAAATGGATTCAACCTCATTCTCCATTGAACCTATATCATCTCTCAGCACCGCCCTGATGTCGTCCTTGAATATTAGAGCCACACCACCTCCCTTACCTTCCTGTCTGTCCTTCTGAATAGTCTGGTACCCTTGGATATTTAACTCCCAGTCATGACCATCCTGTAACCAGGTCTCCGTAATGGCTACCTAATCATATTCATTCGCGATGATTTGTGCCGTTAACTCATCAATCTTGTTACGAATGCTATGAGCATTCGGGTAAAGTGCCTTTATGCTAACTTTCTTACCCTCATGATTTCCAACATCTCTAATATCATCTCCGGAGTTATCCTTCCTGTTTGCTTCTTTCATAGTCTGCCTTGAACTTAAACCCTCCTGCACACATGCTAACCTGCTGCTTACCTTTTTATTTACCATCATATTCCCTGTCGTTTTCCCTTTCCCTTCCCCCCAACTCACTAGTTTAAAGTCCTAGTGACCAGCCTATTTATCCTTTTCGCTAGAACACTGGTTCCAGATCGGCTCAGGTGGAGACCGTCCCATCGATACAGATCCCTCCGGTTCCAATGCCAATGCCCCATGGAATGGAACCCCTCTTTCCCACAGCACTCCCTTAGCCACATGTTTACTTCCCTAATTTTCTTATCCCTAAGCCAATTTGCATGTGGCTCGGGCAGGAATCCGGAGATTATGACCCTCGAGGACCTGTTCCTTAATTTCGTTCCTAGTGCTTGATAATCCCCAAACAGGTCCTCCATCCTAGCCTTGCCTATGTTGTTAGTCCCAACGTGGACCACAACAACTGGATCCTCCCCCTCCAATATCCTTTCAAGCCAGTCAGAGATGTCCTGCATCCTGGCACCGGGCAGGCAACACACCACGCGGGACTCCCGATCTGGCTTGCAAAGGATACTATCTATCCCCCTAACTATAGAATCCCCTATAACTACCACTTGTCTTTTTGCTCCCCCCTCTTGAATGGCCTTCTGCACCATGGTGCTGTGGTGAGCTGGCTCAACCTCCCCACAGCCCTTTTCCTCATCCACACAGGGAGCAAGTATCTCGTACCTGTTGGATAAGGTCAAAAGCCGAGGCTCCTCCACTCCTGAACTCAGGATCCCCCTACCTGCCTCACTTGCAGTCACACCCTGTTGTCCCTGATCACTAACTGAATTTGAATTACTTAATCTACCAGGTGCGACTGCCCCCAGAAACAAAGCGCCCAGGTAACTGTCCCCCTCCCGGATGTGCCGCAGTGTTTGAAGCTCAGATTCCAGAACTTCAACTCTGAGCCGGAGTTCTTCCAGCAACCAACACTTGCTGCAGATGTGGTCACTGCCGGTCACAATGGGATCAGCCAGCTCCCACATCATATAGCTACAGCACATCACCTGCCCAGCCATCTCTACTTAGTTAATTACTTTATTACTTTATCTCAATTTATGAATTAAATACTTTCCAATACTTCTCTGCTACGGTCTTTTCAAATAACCAATTAATAGATAAATAAAAGAAAGTAAATTTTTAACCAATTACACAATACAGAAGAAATAGAAAAAGTATAAAAACCTTACCTTATCAACACACCACAGAGTCCTTTTTTTTTGGTTAGAGAAGGAGGGCAGGTGGGAGACACTACACATTTAATGTCTCGGGTTCAGCCACTGCCCAAATATATTCCCGGCAGCCCCCTGGTCCTCGCTGTCGCCTTTCTCTCTGCTGCTTAAAAATAAAGGCCGCTGACGCTTGAGGTAAGCCCTTTAAGAGGGAAAACTTACCTTCCTGGCAGCCCCCTGGTCTCAGCTGGGTTTTTACAACAATATTCTTGCTTTTAAAGTAGGTTTTTATTCAAGTTTTCATTGAATTCAAAATTCACTGTCATGGTAGGATGTGAACTCATGCCCCTGGATCATAACCCTAAGGCTCTGTATTAGTCAAGTAACATGACCATTATGAGTTATGTCCCTCAGCGTCATGGGCAGTCGTATTAACCATTAAGCAATAAGGAGAGCTTCAAATGAGTTTCATTTCTTTTTATCTCCTTTTTGCCAATTAGGGATTGCTTTCCATTGAGTGTTTGCCTGATATATAGGGTCGCCAACCTCTCCAGGACTGGCCTGGAATTTCTAGGAATGGAGATTAATCACTAGAACACTGTGCAAAATCACATGGACATTAAAAAAAGTTTTGTATTTGTCATTCTCATTAAACATTTCTCTTTAGTATAAAAGCATTGAAAATTAGAAAGAAACTTTTCTGATAATCAAGCATCAAATTGGGGAATAAGTGTTTTTGCTTTTCAATTGGTGTATGAGGGGAGTATGCCATGTGGATGATTGATGGCCAGAGCAGGGGTAAGCCAGGTGATGAAATAATTTCAGAAATAAAATTTAAATTACAGTCGGCAACCTTACTTAAAGCAGGGGTCCAATCTGGATTTGGGTAAACTAAACAATAAAGCAGGGCTGCCCACACTGTGGGTTAAGATACCCAGAAGGTTTGTAGATATGAAATTTTGGGATCACAACCTCGAGGCAACAGTGACTGCTATGGAGCTCGGACTCATTTCTGATAGCTGCAAAACCCCTTTAAATCCTTGACTTTTTTACCTATCGGTGGGCAAGGCCGAATAAGTTGCACTTTGAAACTTAGATTGCTGGTGCTACAAAAAAAGCAGCTGATGAATAGATTGGGAGTGTTTACGTTTTTTTGGAGAAACCCTGCTTTTTCATCAACTCCCTGCATGAGGGGGATAAGAGTGAAGAGTGGAAGAGGGTATATAGGGATGAAAGAGGGGAGAACCACGATTACAGGGATCGGGTAAGTGGAACGGTCTTTGGTGGGTTGGTGTGGACTCGATGGACTGAATGCCCTGCTTCCTCCTGCAGGGATTCAATGATTCTATGAGATATGGTATGTTCAATTCCTTTCACCCCACTCCACTCCACAGCTCAACTATGCTCTTACCTGTCCAAATATTTACTGCGGGAGTCACCCATAGCCTAGGCACTAACTTGGGAACACATTGGAAAAAAATTTTGGGAAGAGTTTAGAGCATTGATTGAGTGATAATTTTCCATTCAATGATGGGATACTTCTTCTGAAATCCAACTTATCCAGAACAGTGTCAATCTAAAACAGGGCATTTTATGTACACAGACACAAGTACAGTACCTTCATTACAGCAGTCCCAAAAATCTAAAAAAAATTTCTCTTTTTACCTTTCGGACACTGGCAACACAAATAGTGGATAAATTCAGTGGATCAATTGCCTCCAGTTTCATCCCCTCTTCAAACCAATCGTCATTAGCATAAACAGCTCGTACCTAGAATCAGAATGGTTTTAAAACTACATCAAATTTGAAAAAAATACAAGTTCTTGCACTGTGCAAGAATAAAATGTTTGAAATATAACTACGAGAGGGAGTAGGTAATTCAGCCCTTCAAGCCTGCTCTGCCATTCAAGACGATCATGGCTGATCTCAACTCAACCTCAACTCCACTTTCTTGACCTCTCTCCATAACACTTCACCCATTATTGGTTAATTTCTTATCTGTTTTAAATCTGCTACCACTTATTCTAAAACTTTGACCTCTCATTCTATAGGAGGAGAAATGTCCTCTCTACATCTACTCTATCAATCCCTTTAGTATCTTATAACACCTCAATTTGATCACCTCTCATTCTTCTAAATTCCAGAGAGTATAGGCCTAAACTGCTCAACCTCTCTTCACAAGACAAACCCCTCATCTCTGCAATCAATCTAATCTCAGCTACCTCCCTCCTCTGCAACTACATCCCTCCTCAGGTAAGGGGGCCAAAATTGTATGCAATACTCCAGGTGCAGTCTCAATGATGCCTTGTACAGTTGCAGCAAAACCTCCCTACTTTTATACTCGGTTCTTTTGGCAATAAATGCCAAAATCTCATTTGCCTTTCTTATTATCTGTTGTACTAATTTTTTGCAACATCACAATCTGTCAAGTTCAGAGGAGAGAAGAAAATTCTTTTTAAAAGGTTTCAAATTGCTGATAATACTCCCATGTTATAATGTTAATTAATCTGAACTTAAATACAGATGCTGGCTGATCTGCCAAGAGCTTTCATGACTTTAACAGAATTTTTCAACTCTTACACTATCTCCAAATGCTCTCAAGTAACAGCCATGGCTCAGTTTCAGAAATCTATAAAGCTTCAGTTTTGAATTATCTCAGCTGACTGCTTGCTGGTTTTGGGAATGCATTCAACATGGACTCAAAAACATCATAACTGGCCTCTAATTCAGATCAGCAGCGATGTGGAGTCAACAGCCCCATACAGTTACATTTGTCTAATACTCTGACACATTCACTGGGTGTGACACTGCTTTAATAGTAACGTCACAGGGCCTTTAATCCAGAGGCCAGCTTAATACTCTGGGCAAATTGGTTCAAATCTCACCAGTATGGAATCTAAATCAATTAGTTAAATCTGGTTAGATCTCAGCAATAGTTTGTAAGTGCCTTTTAGGGAAGGAAATCTGTTGTCCTTAACCTGGTCTGGTCTATGCAACAACGTAGATCATAACAGCAATTTGGTATGCAACAAATGCTGGCCTTGCCAGCGATACCCACATCCTGTGAAAGAATACAAAAAATATTTACAATTTACTATTTCAAGTAACTACGTTAAAATAAGGGTTGATTAAATAATTAGAGAGTTCACCAATAAATCCTGAAAAAGAAAGTGGAATAACAAAACATTAAAGATAGCATGAAAAATATTTCTATTCCTAAATGCCCTTGAGAGTAAGAGTCAACCATATTGCTATGGTTCAGGACTCAAGTGCCTTACAACATTGCCACAAATATCTAGGGTTTAAACTAATTGCGGGGAAGTGCTAAACCCTCTTACACCACAGAGGCCCCAAATTTGAAAATAAATTTGTTTCAAGTAAGTTCACCCTGATAAGGCCTGTCATAGTAAATGAGTAACAGCCAGATAGTAGCAAGTGCAAGAACACAGTTGTTATTTTCTCTATGGTATTATTACTGGCAAGTTAAAGAGCTCTGTTTAAATGATCTGCTGGAGATTGGAGAAACTATGGACACAAATGCAGATACTTCCAATCCAAGACAAAGTTTGTTTCAAGTTTTAACACTGCCAATGCGTGCCTCCCACCCCAAAACAGAGGACAAGTTTACAGTATCACTGCAAGATATTCATTAATTTCCGGTACGTCGGAGGTACCACTTTTTGATGAAGATGTTGCATAAAGTCCCAAATTGCCCGAAGGATTTGGAATTCTCTAGTCCAAAGTGCTACAGGTGCTCAGTCACAGAACATTTCAGACCGAGCCGGAGACACTTCTGGACACTAAGGGGTATGGAGATAGGATCAAAATCCTGGAACTTCTTCCCTAACAGCATTCCGGAATTACCTACATCAGATGGACTGCACTGGTTCAAGAAAGCAGCTATCACCAATTTCTCATGACCAACTAAGGATCATTAAATAAATGCTAGCCCCAGCCAGCGATGCCCAAATCAAATGAACAAATTTCAAAAAGAGGAGAGGAAAGTGGGTGTGTGGTAGTCCTTTAGATCATTTTGTTTACACATCACCTTGTGTTCATGACCTACACTGGCTCCCAGTTAAGTAACGGCAGGATTTTAAAATCCATCCATGGTCTCACCCTTTCCTAGATCTTTAATATCCTCCAGCCCCAAAACCCCAAGGGATATTTGTACTACTCTAATTCTGGCCTCTTGAACATCCCTAATTTAGATTGGATGAGTGCTAAATAGGAAGCAGTTTTCTAGGGCTAAAGTTCTGGCAGTTCCTCCCTACACCTCTTTGCCTCTCTAGCACATTTTCCTCCTTGAAAATAATCCTTTAAAACTGACTTTTTTGATTAAGGATTCAGCCATCTACCTTAATATTTTCTTTGGTGCCAACTGCACCATTATTTCACAATATTCCTGCAAAGAGTATTCAGTTGGTTGTATCAAACATCTACTTGGACAACTAGATACGTTCACTGAAACCTGGTCTCAGCAGCACATAGAAACATTGAGAACAGTAAGTCTTTCGGCCCTTCGAGCCGGCTCTTCCATTCAAGATGATCATTGTTGATCATCCAACTTGGTCTGTCCCCACTGCTCCCACCCATCCTTTGATTCTCTTAGCCTCAAATGCTAAATGCAACTCTTTCACGAAACCACACAATGTTTTGGCCTTAACCACATTCTGCTGTAGCAAATTGCACAGACTTGCCACTCAGTGAAGAAATTTCTCATCTCAGTCCTAAATGGTTCATCCCATTTCCTGAGACTGAAACCTCTGACTTGGACCTCACCACTTCCCACAAAACAAAAAGAATTAATCATCAGGAACATCCTTTCTGCATCTCCCCTGTCTAGTCCTGTTCGAATTTTATATGGTTCTCCGAGATTCCTCTCATTCTTCTGAAAACCAACTTATAGTGCTGACCAAAAAAAACAACAACTTTCCTCAGTCCTGCCATAGAAAGAACAATACAGTGCAGGAACAGGCCCTCTAGCCCTCCAAGCCTGCACGGACACATTTTGCCCTTCCATACTAAAACTGTCTTCACTTACAGAATCCATATCCCTCTACCTTCTTCCTATTCATGCATTTGTCCAAATGCTTCCCGAATGTGGCTATTGTGTCTGCTTCCACCACCTCCTCTGGCAGTACATTCCAGGCACTCACCACCCTTTGTGTGAAAAGCTTGCCTTGCACATCTCTTTTAACCTTCTCCTTTTGCACCTTGAACTTCTGTCCCCTAGTAACTGATCCCTCCACTCTGGGAAAAAGCCTCAGTTTCTCCTCTATCCATGCCATTCACAATCTTATATACATCTATTAGGTCACCCCTCAACCTCCTGCTTTTCAGTTAAAACAAACCTAGTCTAGCCAACCTTCCTTCATAGCTAAAATCCCCCATACCAGGTAACATCCTGGTAAACCTTTTCTGTACCCTCTCCAAAGCATCCACATCCTTCTGGTAGTGTGGTGACCAGAACTGTATGCAATATTCCAAGTGTGACCTAACTAAAGTTCTATAAAGCTGTAGCATAGCTTGCCTATCCTTGCCCCTTTCAATGAAGGCAAGTATGCCACAGGCCTTTTTACTACCTGCGCTGCCACCTTCATCGATCTGTGGACCTGCACCGCCAGATCCCTCTGCATATCAATAATCCGAAGGGTTCTACCATTCACTGTATATTTTCCACCTGTACTTGACCTTCCACAATACATCACATTTGTCCGGATTAAACTCTGTCTGCCATTTTTCTACCCATGCCTCCAACTGACCTATATCCTGGGGTACCCTCTAACAATCCTCCATGTTATTGACAACTCCACTCATCTTTGTATTGTACACAAACTTAGTAATTAGACCAGCTACGTTTTCCTCCAAATCATTTATGTAGATCATGAACAGCAGAGGTCCTAGCATTGATCCCAGTGGAACACCACTAGTCACAGCCCTCCATTCCCTATGGAGCACCACTTGTCACAGGACCCTCCGTCTCCTATGACTAAGCCAGTTCTGTGTCTATTTTGCCACCTCACCCCGATTCCATATGACTTCACCTTTTGTACCAGTCTGTCACGAGGGACCTTGTCAAAAAGGCTTTACTGAAGTCCATGTAGACAACATCCACGTTTTTCCCTCAATCATCATCACCTCAAAAAAAAACTCAAATTAAGTTGGTGAGGCACAACCACCCCGCACAAAACCATGCTGTCTATCACTAATGAGTCCATTTGCTTCTAAATGCCTATAGATCTTGTCCAAGAATCTTTTCCAATAATTTCCCTACCACTGACACGAGACTCTCAGGTCTGTAATTTCCAGGATTACCCTTGTTACCCTTCTTAAACAATGGGACAAGTTTGGCTATTGTCCAGTCCTTTAGGACCTCACCTGTGGCCAAAGAGGATACAAAGATATCTATCAATGCTCCAGCATCCCAGGAATCAGTTTGGTAAACCTTCACTGCATTCCTTCTAGAACAAGGACATCCTCCTACAGGTAAGGAGACCAAAACTCCACACAGTATTCCAGGTGTGGTCTCATGAAGGCCCTGTGTATAATCATAGCCAGGTATCTCTGCTCCTGTACTCAAATCCTCTCGCCATGAAGGCCAATGTGCCACTTATCGCCTTGACTGCCTGCTCCACCTGCATGCTTGCCTTTAGTGGCTGGTGCACGAGGACACCCAGGACTCCTTGCACATTGCCCTCTCTCAAATTACAACCATTTAGATAATAATCCAACCTCCTCTTATTGTTACCATAGTGGATAATCTCTCATTTATCCACGATACTGCATCTGACATGCGTTTGTTCACTCACTCAGCCTATTCAAATCACACTGAAGCATCTCTACATCCTCCTCACAGCTCACCCGCCCATGCAGCTTTGTGCCATCTACAAATTTGGGAACATTACATTTAGTTCCCTCATCTAAATCAACATTTTATAAATAACCGGGGTCCTAGCACTGATCCTTACTGTACCCCACTAGTCATTGCCTACCACTTAGAAAAAGACCCTTTTGTTCTTAATGCCCGTTTCCTGTCTGCTAACTATTTCAAATCCCATGTGTTTTAATTTTACATGCTAATCTCTTATTATGACTTTTTGAAAAGCCTTCTGAAAGGACAAATAAACCACAGCCATTAAGTCCCTCTCATCAACTTTACTAGTTACATCTTCATTGAATTTAAGCCAATTTGTCAAGCGTAATTTGCCTTTCATAAATCCATGCTGACTATCCAACCCTGCCACGGTTTTACAAATGTTAACTATTAAAGCTTTTATAATAGATTCTAGCATTTTCCCCAATAACAAGATCACACTGACTGGTCTATAATTCCAGGTTTTCCCTCTGCCTCTTTTTTAAAATACAGTGGTTACTATAGGAACTGTTCTAGAGTCTACAGAATCTTGGATGCCACCAATGCGCCCACTATTTCTAGGGCCTCTTCATTAAGTACTCTGGGATGTAGATTATCAGGTCATGGAGATTTATCTGCCCTCAATGAAATTTCCCTAACACCATTTCCCTACTAATACTGATTTCCATCAGTTCCTCCCTCACATTAAATCTTGTGTTCCCCAACATTTCCGCTATGTTATTCGAGTCCTCCATACCCATTTACCCAGAATGAAGAAACAAAATGCAAAAAATATTGGTCCTTACCTTTTTAAAGAGATGGGGCAAAGCATAACAGAAGATTTTCCTGAACGTTGGGTATGAGTTTATGCCTGCTCTGGTCACTCCTCCTTGGGAAAAAAAAAGGATTAAAATTTTAATTTGAAGTCACACAAACCAGAAAGTTGCAAGTTTCAATTCCTGTGTAATACCTACCATCCAATGTTCTCTGACTCACTGTGACAAGTTCACAACACAAATGGTTAAACTAAACTTCTCTTTTGGTATTTTTTCTTCCCAATTGTAAAGGAAGAAGTCACTATCTTTGTTCAGTCCAACGATTTAACTTGCCTTCATGCCATTTTGTAGTAATCAGTATCCCATGCAGCTGCAAATACCCACAAAACATTGAGACAATACCAGATATTTTGAACCTTTAAAGACACACGGTGTTTGATGGGTACAGACTCCAAACCTTATGATCAGTAGTTTACTTTTACTGCTTAATATGGAGTTATATAGTAGTTTGGTCCAGCAAGTTACAACAATGAGAATCCTCTGTGTGGAGTAAGTACTGTATTCATTCTTATGGGGCTTTTGTCTATCAATTGGAAGGCAAAATAATTAAAATACTAAGTAAAAGTTCTGAAGAAGAGTTATATTGGACACTAAACATTAACTCTGTTTCTCCATCCACAGATGCTGCCAGACATGTTGAGTGTCTCCAGCAAGTATCTGTAATTAAAATATTCAGAGAAGTTCAAACAGCATGTCCTTTTGCTATTCACAATACAGTACTGACTACACTTAACCAGTCCATGCATGAAAATCACAAAGTAGAGGCCTGTGATAGGATAGCACTCACTGAATATTCCCGAAAGTGCTAAGAATCAGACTAACAACGACATTAAAATGAACAGTCAACACTGTGACTCAGTTACGCTCACTAGAAGTTGCGTGTCTCAATATTAACTTGTTTACTATTTCAAACACAAGGACCTGGCCTTTACAGGTCAAAGGCACTCGTCTAAGCATTGCACCTTTTTTGAACTAAAAAAAAAACATGGGGGACAATAATTCCCAGGTGCATTCACCATAGCAATGCTTCAACCAGAGTTGACTTGGCAACCATTCAGGACCATTTCCTGATATAATATAAATTATTGCTCCCTTTGAAATGGGGTATTCTTGCATTTGCCCTGATGAGTGCACGATGAAAAGCTTGCTTCTGTTTGAACAGAACTCAAGTTTTCTTTTTATTTATGTGCGGAAAATAAGTGCCACTGACATTTATTGGTCTTCCCTGGTTGCCCGAAGATGATAATGGTGAGCCATCTTCCCAAACCGCTGCAGTCCACATGTTGAAGGAAGCCCCACAGGGATATTCCATAGGGAAATACAGAACAATAAGTAGGTTTATTTTACTCAAAACACAGGCAAATAGGATACAAATGCTGAGTGAAGTTATATTGATTTCCTACAGCTCATTGCAATATTAGCAATAAATTAAGCAAGCTCAGTCCCCGATTCAGTCTGATCTTTTCCTTTATAAGTCAGTCCATAAGACACAGGAGCAGAAGAGGACCATTCAGCCCATTGAGTCTGCTCCATCATTAACAAGATCATTGCTGATCTGATAACCCTCAACTCCATTTTCCTGTCTTTTCCCCACAACCCTAGATTCCCTTGATGATTAAAAACCTGTTTGTCTCAACCTTAAATATAGTTAAAGATCCAGCTTTTGTGAGGAAGAATGCCACACAGATTCAGAGGAAACCCTCCTTCATCTGTTTTAAACGTGCAACTTCTTATTCTGAAATTATGCCCTCTGGTCCTAGACTCCCTCACAAGAGGAAACAATCTTTCCATATCAACCCTGTCAAGGCCCTTAGGAATGTGTTATGGTTCAGTAAAGTTGTCTCTTATTCTTCTAAACTCCAATGAGTATAGACCCAACCTACACAAACCCTCCTTATAAGACAGTCCCTAAAAACCCAGGATCAGCCTTGTAAACGTTCTCTGCACTGCCTCCAATGCCATTACATCTTTCCTTAGATAACCCACCAAAAATCACACTATTCCAGCTATGGACTAACTAGTGCAAAGTATAGTTTTAATAAGACTTCCCTATTGTTAAACTCCATTAAATTGGAAATAAAAAGTCTAAAATTTATTTGTTTTCCCTATTACCCGTTTAATTTTTTACGCTAGTTTTGTTATTTATTCCTGAGGACTCCCAAAGCTCTGTAGCTTTCTGCAGTGTCTTTCAATTTAGGTCAGCATTTACTAAACTGTCTACTTGTAGCCTCTCACCAACAGGCGCCTTCCGAGTGTCTTCCTATACTGCAATGCCCGAAGACTGCATCTAGCCCACGTAGATAGGGAGTCAAATACTCTATCTCTAATCTGTCTTCTAAGCTCCATATCAGCATTCACTTTAGTTAGAATTGTAAAACTCATTGTATATAAATTCAATGATCTGCTGGTACTTTGAAACAACAATTCAATTATTCATATGCTTTCTTCAGCACTCATGCTCCTAAAAAAAAAAATAACAGTGCAAAACAAAAATCAGATTTCCATAAAAAATTATAAAACTGGGTTGCATTCTTGACTTGCAATTTTTGCATTAAAAAAGCTATCGGCTGCCTTGATTATTACTGACCCAAAGATCACCTAACTGACTTACAGTTATTATTCTCTTACTACACAAATCTCAGTGTGGCATCAGTCCACCTCCTTGTCATCCCTCTCATTCTTTCCAGTCTCCAGTTCCCTCTCACAGCCTCCTCCCCCACGTCCTTGCTCACTTCCTCCTGTTCATCAATCCCCTCTTAAGCTATTGCTCAAAGTGAGGTCTCAGAAGTGGGATGGTGAAAGGGAGATTTGGGAGTGGGAGAAGGCAAGAAGAGCAGTGAGTGGGAGAAAGCCGAGTGGGTTGAGAGAGGCAGAGAGTGAATACCCTGTGGTTAAAAAGCAAACAAAACATGCACAATTATTGAAAAGTTCATCATTTCTGTGCATTTGGAGGGAAAGTGGTGGCTGTGTGTGTGACTGACCATGTAATTCAGAGGCCTAAGTTCATACTTTGGGGCATGGGTACAAATTTCACTATAGCAGTTAGTAGATTTTAAATTGAATCAATGAAAATCTGGAACTAAAAAGCTGATCTCTGTAATGATAACCTGAAAACAACCACAGATTGTTAGAAAATCCCATTAGATTCACTAATGCCCTTTAGGGAAACAATGTCATCATGACCCATTCTGGCTTACATGTGTCTCTAGACCACAGCAATGTGGTTAACTCTTAACTGCCTTCTGAAGTGACCTAGCCTTGGTTCATGGACAATTAAAGATAGGCACCAAATGTTGCCCTTGATACTGACGCCCATATCCCACTAAATAATAAATAAAATGAGCTGAAACAAAATGGATAAGCAACAACAGCAATATCCATATCCCTAAAAAGCATATAAAGACAGACAATAAAGTGGCAATTTAGCAAATTAGTGGATTCATACCTTAAACCTCTTTTCAGTATTAGAATTTAACATGTTATTTGTAACTGTCACCACACAGCATCATCTATGCTTGTATTCACCAAGTAAATACTTACGAGATCATTCAGCCATTGTAGCGTATCCTAACATTCAATTAGATCCTGGCTAATTTTCAACTTAACTCTTACTTATCCACTTTGGTTTCATATCCCTAATACTTTTGCTCAACGAAAATCTGTCAATCTCAGTTTTAAAGTGATCAGCTCCATTAGCTCACCTGGGTGTTTCACTTTATGACCCACTCTTTTGGACCATCCCACTGAATGGATGAGGGGACTCCACATGTGGCACCAGAAATCATCATCTTCACAATCTTCATACAGCAGTCTCAGGCGCCCCCCAATCACAGTATCCACAACTGCTGTCCGTGTACGTGAGATTTGTGTCTTATCAACAACTTCTACACGCATTCCTGGTCGAAAAGGATATTTCATACTCTCCACCATCTGGGAAAGACATTCAAGAAGAAGCATTTTCTTCTCAGATAAAAGCATCAACTCAACAAGGACAGAGAAAAAAATCCTTCACCTACTGCTTAGGCTAGTCATTTGAGAAAAATACTTCCGGCAAAGTCTAAAAGTACACTAAGTTTTCCTAGGAGTTTAAACACAACTTTGGCAGACCATTCAACTGTCAGGGATGTCATAGCCAAGCCATGTTTCATGTTATATTCTAGCAGTGGTCATTAAATAGAAAGGCACTACCCCAATTCCCAATTTCCCAACTTAAGCTCCTTCCCTACTGCATCCCAAGTGGTTATGGTTGTTGCGGATCACAGTCATACAGCACGGAAACAGACCTTCAGTCCAAATAGTCCACGCTGACCATGCTCCCAAACTAAACTTATCCTACTTCCCTGAGTTTGGCCTATAACCCTTTAATCCTTTCCTATTTGTGTACTTATACGTTGTAATTGTATCTGCGTCCACCACTTCCTCTGGCAGTTCACTCTACAAACGAACCACTCTGTAAAAAAGGTTGTCCCTCAGGTCCTTTTTGAAATTTTCTCCTCTCACCTTAAAAATACACGCCCTAGTTTTGAATTCTCCCGCCTTAGGAAAAAGATCCTTGCTATTCACCTTACCTATGCCCCTCATGATTTTATAAAACTCTATAAGGTCACCCTTCAACCTCCTACACGCCTGTGGAAAAAAAAATCCCAGCCTATCCAGCCTATTTTTCTAACTCAAACCCTCTATTCCTGGCAACGGGATGTAAATCTTTTCTGAACCCTCTCCAATTCAATAATACCCTTCCTGTAGCAGACTGCACACAGTACTCCAGAAGAGGCCACACCAAAATCCTGTATAAACATCTCAGACCCAGGAAATTGCTGCAAGAGTTCTTCAGGCCATTGCCTTAAGCACTGACATCTTCAGCTGCAATATCGATGACTTTCTGCCCTTCATTAAAAGGTCAGAACTGGGGGATGTTTGATGATGTACAGGCTATGTTCAGTAGCATCAGCAACTCCTCAGATACTGAAGAAGTTCATGCCCATATGCAGCAAGACCTGGGCCACACTGAAGGTTTGGGCTGATAAGTGGCCAAAAACACAGGTGCCATATAAGTGCGAGGCCATGGCCACCTCCAACAAAAAACCATCTCACGACATTCAAAAGCATTATCATCTCTAAATCCCTTATCAAGATTCTTGAGGCATTACCATTGAGTGGGGTGTGAACAATCTTCACCTCAATCTCAGAATCTGCTGTGACTGTGTGGGACTTTTTCCTCAGACTCACAGTTCACTGGGAGGCAAAGGGTACAATGTAAGCTGCTCGCATGTGTGGCTGTGTAGCAGCTAAAAAACCTCTCACACATTCCATCGCCCTCCACTGTTTGACTCCCACCTCTAGTTTAAATGTACCACTTAAACTATTCAGAAGTCTAAGACAGCACAGAAGTTACAGGGAACATTGGAGGGAGTGAACTTTTCACTGGCACCATGCATGACAGTCACACTAATCAACAGGAATCTGGATAGGAAGATCAGTAAGCAGCTGAGGGAGATCATGCAGCAAGGTTGGGATAAGAAGTTTAATGTGAACTTTAATAATTAAAGAAACAAAAAAAAAAGTTACAATCCGGTTTTATTTTGGTGACTGAGGCCAACCAACCTCCCACCACCACACCACTGACTATCTGAAGACCAACCTCGCTCAACAACTCTCGTACTCCTCTTATTTTTACTCTGAGCTCAAAAACACATCACACTGGGAAGCAGTTCAGAAAGCAAGGAAATAGCAAAAATACATTGCTTAACTCACTACTCTTCTAAATCAGCCTCTTTATGAATAGGAACAATCTCCACATTTTAGAAGATCATAAAAGTAATCGCTGGGATGGTCAAGATTCAACAAATCCAGCACAGATGGATTCAGTCAGAAATGAGACATTCCTGATTGAAGTATGTCTATGCTGTACAGTGTACCAATGTGCAATGGATGTAGATCTCAGGCTTTTACGTTTGGATTTCATCTGATGAACTTCATTAAGGTGCAAAGAAGTACGACAGGTTAGGCTGTCACGTGTTTGCCATACCTTATAATGAAAATCAACTGGTAGAGTCTTAGATCCAATTAGTCTCTTTAACAGATAGGCCCTCCAGTCAGTGGTCTTGTTTCGAACAGCTGCACAAAGAGGATCACAAAGTAATACAAGACCATTTCATAATTCAATACAGTGTGTTTGGGAGTTGAGGACAATCTGACTACACTCAATACTAGCCTGTTTGCAAAACAGAGTTGCAGATAGAACAATGCACTTTTGATCTTGCTGTGGCAAATTTAATAATGAAGCACTGGCTGCAAGGAGAACAACCAATTGCTTTATGTTACAACCAACATGGAACAAAAACACTCACGAGTCCCACTACTCCATGGGTCACAATATAAAACAAAATATTTCAAAGTCCCAGTATAGCCAATTGTGTGCTTTCTCTACATTAGGCTGAGAATAAAGATTCATCAACTTGATTTGTCTACTAAACACAAAATTATTGATTTATTATAAAATAAAACCCAATCAGTAAAGATGCAGAATTGTGTTAACACAATCTGGAGTATGCAAATGTAAATGTTTACCCCTCTAAATAACCTGACAGACTAAAACATGCAAACACTTCAATTGAAGGAAACAAATTTGCCTCTGCAGGGATTCACTTTAAAAAGAAGGTTTAAAAAAAAACAAAGGATAGAATGTTCTAAAGTCTGTCAATCTGGTGGTCTTGCACATGTGGTCGTCACTAAGCACACATTGGCAGACACAGCTTGCTCAGAAAATGAAGACTGAACTTCTCAATGCGGTCAGAATAATTTTGACCACAAAAGGTGATTAAGGAACTACAGACATAAGCTAAGCAGATTGTTTTTAGCCAGATTTCCCCAACTAATTCCAAACAGAGACAACTCTCCAAACCATATATTATTTCAACATAGCGTCCATAAAACTAAGGCAGATGACGTCTGAAAATGTCCATGCAATTGTCTGAAGTCACATGATTCCTAATAAGTCTGGTTTTAAAAAAGCTGCAATGCCTCAAAAGGTTTTTCACTGTTTCTTTTACATCTAATCCAGATATCCACATAACTTGAAACAGATCCATTTTTCCTTCAGAAACAAAATATCAAATATGAAGTGGTTTTATAAACAACTGATTAGTCTCAAAAATTAAGTGTTGGGACTATTTCACAGCCACTCAAGGAAATTCTCCATTTAACATACAGCACAAAAGGTAAAATTAGTCAAATTTGCAGTTTGCAACAGGGCCGTTTAAAAATGTAAGAAATGGGAGCAAGAGTAAGCTCCGTAGGCCCTCAAACCTATCTTGCCAATTAACAAGATCATTGCTGATCTTGAACCTCAACTCCACCTTCCTATTACCAGATTCGTTGAGTATTCTTTTCACTTCCGTGCATTAGCTTGCCTTACTTCTTATCTTCACATTCTGGCTAGCAACAGCGCAAAGAAACAGAGCTGAATGTGCAAGTCTCACCACTAGTTCTCAGTTGTGCCTCCTTAAGGCAACATATGGAATGTGGAGTCTCTCAGACCCAGGTAAAAAAGTTTTACAGCAACTCAGGGGGAGATGCAGAGGTGAAGGCCCATTGACAAGTGCGCAACTCTAGCTATGGACAAATAGCTCCACCGTCTAATGGATACCTTGGCTAAGGGAATAATGTCAAAAAAAAAAAAAAACTGTTGTGAACTGGGAGACAGTCACCGACGGCCATGACGTCCCGAGGCTGACTGTTTGGTAAGGCCCAGGAAAATAAGTTATTCTCCACGAGCTTGCGGTCACTTAAAACTCTGCTCGTCATGTTTTTACACAGTCCTACTCACTTTATACCTGACCCCATGACCTTCATTGGGTAAGTAACACCTCAATTTTACAACTCTTAGCCTGGCTTTCAAATACTTTGAGTTTCAGTCCTTTGTGTCTCTATAATTTTATCCAATTTCTTCAACTCTAGAGATGGCTGAACTCTAAATGTTACCAAATTTAATCATTCCACCACTTGCAATCATACCTTCAGCTGCTGAGAAAATTACTGGAATTCCCTCTCTAACATTTTACCATTCCATTGCTCTTTACCCCAATAAAAAGGTGCTCTTCAAAACAGACTACTCTGGCTTAGTTTTAGACCACCTACCCCATATCATCTCATCTGGCTCAATATTGGATAACACCATGGGACATGTAACCACGTTATAGAAATGCAAGGTGTTGTTCAGCTATAACATTCTGCAAAAATAAAACTGCAGTTACTGCTTCAAGAACTTACTCTGAGGAGGCACAAGAGGCTTGCCAAATGTGGCACACCAACCAATTGGATGGATATCTGCAGTTCCCAGATTATACCAAAAATCCCGTTTTGGGTTGTTTTCAAATCCTTCATACCTCAGCAGTGCCTTATAACCTATTAAAGAAAACACAGAAAAAGCAAAAACTGTTAAAAACCTCAACGAAACAACTACAATTGTTACCAAAACGCCTGCGATCAGATAATGAGACTCAAAAATCCATTAAGAATGCCTTAGGGAGACAGTAGCATGCTGTTGATGTCACTGTATCGGTAATCCAGAGACCTGGGCTAATGCCCTGGGAAACATATGTTCAAATCCCACTACAGTTGCTGATGAAATTTAAATTTAGTTCATTTTAAAAATCTGGAATCCAAAGCTGATTCAATCACTGTTGGCTCAGAGATGCCATTCAGAAGCCTGATCTGGTTTACATATGGTCAGATCAACATATAGGGTTGAGTTAACTGCCCTTCTGAGATGGCCGAGCATGTAACTCTGTTCAAAGGCAATTCAAAATGAGAAACAAATCCTGGCCTTGCCCACATCTCATGAAAGAAAGAAAAATAAACCACCCATCAATATATAGGGCATTAAAAACTTTCAGGTGAAGAACAGTTAAGAGGCAGGTGATAAATTTGACCAGGGCACACAGACTTAATTCAGTCTCCATCTTAAAATTATGCAGTCTGTCAGCTTACGATAAGAAAGGCATATTCAATACTATGTCCACATGGTAACAGCAACACAGTAACTCCTACTGCCAACTTTATGGATAAGTACATATTCTCCCACTGCCATGATTGAAGATAGCTTAGTGGTGTTATCCCTGGAGTACCAGGTAATGACTTGGGGTCCAGAGTTCAAATCCCACCATGGCAATTGATGGAATTTAAATTCCAAGTTTTTTAAAAAATTGGATTCAAGAGTTATTAATGATCATTCCAATTGTATGAACAACTAACTGGCTCACTAAAATCCGTTTTTTTTTTGGGGGTGCAACGTAGCTGCCCTTACCTGGTCTAGTCAACATGTAAACCCAGACTCTTACGTGCCCTATGGGTGATCAGAGATGGGCAATAAATGCCGGTCAGCAACACCCACATCCTGAAATGGATTTTTAAAAAATTGTTCTCCTTGGAGAGGAGATCTGAAGATGTGACAGAGGTTTTCAAAATCACAAGCAGGCTGGATAAAGTAGATAGGGAGAAACTATTCCCACTTGTAAATGGAACAAGAACAAGAGGGCATAAACTTAAAATGATCTGCAAAAGAAGCAAGTCTGATATTTTTCACTCAATGAGTAGTTACAATATGGAATGCACTTCCTGGAAGCGTGGTGGAAGCATTCAAGACAGCATTGGATAATTATTTAGATAAAAATAATGTGCAAGGGTATGGAGTAAAAGCAGGAGATTGGCACTACGTAATTATGCCCATTTAAAGGGGCTCCTTCAGTGCAATAATAATTCTGTGATTCTGATATCATGGGTGCATGCCATTTTGCTCCCATAGGTCACTTTTTCTTTGCAATAAGCCCAGTTTAATAGGGCAACATTAACCACAAAACACCCTTCTTCTAATTTATCGGAACAAGTGAGCAAGTTGGAAAGGCTTTGCACAGGGTCTCTGCATAACCTGATTAGCTCAGCTGGTAAATAATGGGGTTCAATCTTGGGGTCATGGTCTTGAGCCCCACTTTTTTAAAATATATTTTATTCAAAACACTTATTGTTTTTAATCAATACTGCAACTCCACAGATAACAGCATTGCATTTTGACTTCTAACACTAGCTTTTACTAAAACTAATCCAGTTGCTGGGAGGAAAAAGAAGGCAATTTTACCATTACAGAAATCCAATTGTTAAAATGGCTGCTTTCTGAGTTGTTGCACTTTTTTTCCCAGTCAACCAATTTTGTAGTAAATGAGACAGTTATAAGATACCAGCTTACAAAGAAAAATGCAGAAGTCTGTGACAGAAAACATGCACTTAAAACCACCTCTCACTTTAAAAAGCCCAACACTGATTCTACATTTTTACTCATTCAGGAAATGCTCCCCCTGGTGTTGCAGCACTGCAGCTAAATGGAAACTGCATTTGTAAAAAATATTACACTGCAATTACAACCTTCTGCCTATGATACGCTGCAGCAAGAGGATGAAGCTGGCTTCTACAAAGAACTACTTTCAACTGTGTGAGGAGGCAACCTGTAATGACACTTGGACGGATTTCACCTCACCTCCAAATTCACCAAATAAATGTTATTTTTTGAAACTGCAATTTACTTTCTTCTTTTCTTCATCTGAGAGTGACACCCCTCTTCTCATTTTCTTTTCATATAGAATGTCCTTACTCCACTCAACAGTCCTGCTAAACATCAGAAGCAATTTCCAAGCAAACTGACTAGGAAACACTCATCTGAAGGTCATTACTGGGGTTCAGGACTAACCAGTTGAACTATTGGTGCTACAGAAAAGCACTCAACCTAATGGTGAAGCCAAGAAACATAACTAACATGGCCAGTTTGATGTAAAACTGCATACAAAACAGGGAATGGAGGTCTTGTGGTACATTGGGCAGCAACCCTCCCTGAGTCAGGAGGTCTAGGTTTGAGGCCCTCTTCAGGACCTGATGGCCAAAGGAGATGGGGTTTTTTTTTAATTTAAAAAACAAACTCATTCATGGGATACAGGTCACACTACCTATATCGCTATCCCATCCTAACTGGGAAGAGGATAGGTCAGAGCTAACCACATGCTTGTGGGCTTGCAGTCACACGTAGGCCAGACCAGGTGAAAACACCAAATTTCCTGCCCTAAAAGAACTTGATCAACTGGATGGGTTTCATGATCATCATTAGGCTAGCTTTCTATTTTAGATGTTTTATTGGGAGATTCTGGCATCCTCAGAACATTAGCCAGTGGTCCTGCATTACTATCCCAGTGACACTACCACGACCGCCTCTTCCTGCAGCCAAACGCAAATCTTTCCAATACGTTGGCAGCAGGTGGTCAGAAACAGGACAATTTCCTGGCCACCTAGAACCATGAACTACTGGCGGTGCAACAGCCTCCCCATATTATAAAAGTCTACGCGCTTTGATCATGTGTCAACTTTGTTCCAAAGGGCTACAACACGCCCATGAGCAAGTGACATCCTCAGTGAGGCAATTCGCTCCCAACACAGGCATGCAGGCAGGTATCTAAATGTCACCACCCTGGCTTACAGAATCCAATACAGTGTATGATGTTACCATCAGGAACTGAGAAATGAAACATGTCACCAACCTGCTAACTTTATGACTTGTGCAATCCAGTAGACTTTGTTTGGCAGATTACAGTCAAGGTTCAATACTTCTACTTTCATTCCTTCCAGAACATCTTCCCACTGATCAAAAAGTGGAACCTACATAGGAAGCACTAGATTTTACATTTGGTTCCATCTCTAACTATTTTAAAAGATAAAAATAAGGAAAAAATGAGTAAGAATGGAAGAAAGAGACAAAGCTAGTTGGAGAGAGAATAATTATGCTGGAAACAGTTCAGAGAAGGTTTATTAGACTAATACCAATGGGGCACTTTTGTCTTAAGATGAAAGGTTGGACAGGGTTGGCTTGTATCTCTGGATTTTAGAAGAGAAAGAGGCAACGTGATTGAACTTGAGGGCTCTTAACAAGGTGGAGAAGACACTTCTTATGGGATAACCTACACTAGGAGCTATTGTTGACAAATCAGGGCAAAATGTTTCTTGAGGGTTGGGAGTCTTTGGAGCCCTCATCATGAAGTCAGTGGAAGCAGAGTGCTTAAATATTTTTAAGGCAGAGGCAGACTGTTCGAAGAGTCATACAAGACTCTTAAGTCAATTTCTTTTCACAGAAGCTGCCAGACCTGCTGAGTTTCTTCACCGGTCTCTGTCTTTGTTTATGGATAGATTCCTGTTAAGCACAGGGCTAAAAGGTTATCAGGGGGCAGTGAGAATGCAGAATTACAATCAGATTAGCCACAATCTTATTGAATTTCCAAATAGGCTCAAAAAGGGCTGATTGGCCTGCCCGCTCCTATTTCACATCTTCGTATGAGTGAACAACAAATTCTCATCTTGCTAGAAACACTTGCATCCCATGAAAGAATTTTAAAAAAAAGGTTCGAGTAGATTTGTAGCTTGGGTTGTGGATGCTGTTGTTTGTTCTCTCGCCCAGCTGGTTCGTTAGTTCGCAGGTGTTTCATTACCCTGCTGGGTAACATCATCAATGCAGCCTCCGATGAAGCGCTGTTGTGTTTTCCCACCTGGTATTTAAACTCTGGGCTCTGTTGGAATTGGTTACCTCATTTCTGGTTTTTCTTCTTTACATAGTGGTGTGTATATAGGGTCTAATTCTACATGTTTATTGATGGCCTTCTTGGTAGAAAACCAGGCCTCTAGAAATTCCCATGCTTGTCTCCGTTTGGCCTGTCCCAGGATCCTGGTGCTGTCCCAATCTAACTGGTGGTTCTCCTTATCCATGTGAATCGAGGTGAGCGAGTACTGGTCATGTCTTTTTGTTGCTTTACACCAAAATACAGCAATAAAAAGACACGACAAATACTCACTCGTCTCCATTCACATGGATAAGGAGAACCACAGTTCAACTGGGACAACACCAGGATCCTGGGACAGGCCAAACAGAGACAAGCACGGGAATTCCTAGAGGCCTGGTTCTCCACCAAGAAGGCCATCAACAAACAGATAGAACTAGACCCCATATATGTATACCACTGTGAAGGAAAACCGGAAATGAGGTAATCAAATCCAACAGACCCGGGAGTTTAAATACCAGGTGGGAAAACACAACAGCGCTTCATCGGATGCTGCACTGATGATGTCACCAAGCAGGGTAATGAAACGTCTGCGACCTAACGAACCAACCACAGCAATTTTTTTACAAGTCACAAAGAAATCAGAGAGCTAGACAGAGTAAAAAGACAAAAGGATGAAGGAATCACGAAATGTGGACCATTACTGAAGATCCGTGAAGATACAGGCCATTGAAATGTGGATGCCAAGATGCTTGCTAAAATATACAGGCCATTAGACAAACAGAGTGGTGTTTGAAATTACAAGAACAAAAATAACTCTTAAGAAGTGATATCCAGAAAAGAAAATGTCAATATTTTCACAGCCATTTGGTCAGAGCTGAAAAGGTATACAGGTCTCTTCTAGAGCGAAAGTGGAGGCAGCAGAAAGAGAGGTTGACCTACTGTAGTTTGATGACAGATGTCAGAGCAGTAGCAGACATGCTACACAGTGGATGTGTGAGGATGACAAAGACAGACAGGAACAGTATGTCATGCAACAGATTTCCTGGCAGGAGGAGTGACAAACAGCAGCAGCCACTAAGGAATAGACAAGGAGAGAGAGGCAGGACGGAAGGAAGGAAGAGACAAACAGAGAGAGAAAGAGAGAGAGACAGACAGAGGTGGAGAGACATTATCAAGAAAGTTTACACAGAGAGAGAATTTATTTTTATTTATTTCACAGAATGTGAGCATAGCTGCCGTTTATTGCCCATCCCTAACTGCCCTTGCAAAGGTAGTGAGCTGCCTTCTTGAACTGCTGCAGTCTTTTGGGTGCAGCTATACTCACAGTGCTGTTGTGGAAGAAATTCCAGGATTTTGACCCAGTGACAATGAAGAAGCAACAATATATTTCCAAATCAGGATGGTGAGCTGCTTCAGGGGAACCAGCTGGTGTGGTGCTCCATGTATCTGCCGCCCTTGTCCTTAGGCAATAGAGGTTGTGGGTTTGGAAATTGCTATTGCAGGAGTCTTGGAGAAATTGCAGCGCATCTTATAGCTGCCACTGTGCATTGGTAGTGTAGGGAGTGAATATTGAAGGCATTAGATGGGGTGCCAATGAAGTGATTGTCCTGGATGGTCTTGGGCATCTTGAGTGTTGTTACAACTGCACTTAGCTGGGCAGAATTGACTTGCATCTTATAGATGATGGCTAAGCTATGGGCAGTCAGGTTGCTTGCTGCAGACTTCTGAGCCTCTGAGCCCAGTTCCCACAGTATTAATATGTTTGATCTAGCTCCGTTTCTGGTCAATAACAATCCTCAGGATGTTGATAACTTAATACAGGACAACAATCCATCTGTTACACAATAATGGATAAGAGCTGCAGCAATTGAAGCAGGCAGAAATGCAAAGCTAGGAAGAAAAACAAGAGTTGACGGGGTAAGGGTTGGACAGAGAGCAATACACAGCCTGAAACAGTGATAAAATAGTTTCAAAAATAAATTTTGAAACAGAACAAGTAGGCCATTAAGCCCCTTGAACCTACTCTGCCATGCTAAATTATGGCTGATTATTAGAAGTCTTAAAGAAATGATTTGCAGGGCTACAAGGGAAGAGAAGGTTTGTTTGGGGGGTGTGGGGGGGGGCTGCTAATTGGATAAGTCTTTCAAAGGCTGGCACGGATAAAATGGGTTGAATAGTCTCCTGCTGCACTGTATCATCCTAAAATTTTAAAATGACCATGTGGAACTTTGTTTTGGAGAGGAGTCTAGTAAAGGCAACAGCAGACAATTATCAGTGTCAGCTGTCCAAACAGCTGTAAGCATTACATATTTTTAAAAGGTAGAGGTAGATGGAAGATTATTGGAGGTACGCAGGAACGTAAAGCTTAAAATCAGTTCAGCCATGGTCTTACTGAATGGCAGAACAGGTTTGAAAGGTCAAGTGACCAACTCTCGTTTCTTGTTCACGTCACAGTCTGAAATTGAAGTTGATGGTGGTGTAGTGGTAATGTTACCAGACTAATAATCCAGAGGTCTAGGCAAAAGTTCTGGATACACGAGTTCAGATCCCAGCTTTGCAGCTGTGGATTTTAAATTTGATTAACAAAGAAGAGTACTGTTTAGAGACAGTAGGAACTGCAGATGCTGGAGAATCTGAGATAACAAGCTGTAGAGCTGGATGAACACAGCAGGCCAAGCAGCATCAGAGGAGCAGGAAGGCTGACGTTTCGGGCCTAGACCCTTCAAGA